TGGTCTGAAACATGATTGGGATTGATGGTTAGTGACAATAAGATTTCACGGCTGCAGCAACAAAACTCCATGCTTTCATTTATGAATGACTTATCCCGACGAATGCGGATGTTGGCTCATTTTCGCCACTATTTGTTCTACGTCCTTCACTTTTATCCCTCTAATTCAATAGTTCGACCACCAGGTTCTCATTGCGGTTGGGCATCTCGTTTGGTAAGTTGCGAACCCACTTGATGTGCGTAGTGTAGTGTCACCACGATGAAGTAGAACAGGGATCAGTCCAAATCTTCTCTCCTTAGGAGCTTTATTTCATGCTAGGCGCACCTGACTCTTTTATTCTAAGCAAAAAAACACTATTCCGAAAATGGATCTTTCACTCATTGTCAATGAGTGGATCCAGGACTTTGTCACATGCGAGTGCTGACACTTGTGCTGTATTCCGGTCACCCTCATCGAACAGCGTTGGGAATACATGAAAGTTCACTCATTTTGCTCATATTTTTTAGAACAAGCTAGGTCGTTCAGGAGGTCCAGTGGTTCGAACTAAGCAGCTGACCCAAAGGCAGTGGTGGTCGGCATGAAACTAACAGAGCATTCAAACTTTCCACGAAACACGTCAACATGTGTGTTCCAATCCACATCCAGAAGGACCGTGTTAGTTTTACATCTACCCAGTGGCCGACTTGATATGAGTGACTTTACAAGTGCCGCACACAGAACCTGCAGTACAGCGTACTAGATCGAGTAGACTTAAAAACCATTGCACTGTGACAAGGCCGAGCTGCTTGGTGACGGGCAGGCGGACGCAGATGCGAAATCCAGGCAGATACATTCAGCAAAGCTGGAGAGGGAAAAGATTTCGACCAAGGTGTCATATAGACACGTATTAAAAGCATAGTAACGTGATTTTAAAAATTTCCAGGGGGAATTGCAGGAATACGTTCTTCGGTACATCCCTTATCAGTGCTCCGATGCCTTTTAAGGCATTGTGAATCTCTGTAAGTTGGGTGCTTCTTTTGAGGGTACCTTCTGACAAGAATCGTTTCATTCTGCTTATCGGCAGTGATATTTCCAGAATTAAACGACAAGGTGCACCGGAAATGATCAAAACTGATTATGACCGGATAGCAAGCCCGACTTTTTTGTATGGCCTTTGAGAGGCGCATCCTCTACGTTGTCCTCTATCTTCTCGAATAAATTTAGAACAAAGTAGATCCTAGGCCTGGCCTAATGTTAACTGATTGATTGATTGATTTCATTATTAACCGTCCAAATAGACTGCACTTTTATATTTTCTCCTCAGTTTCTTCACGTCCACCCCGTGAATGTGTTTACATCTTTCCACTGGGCTGTTTGGGTTGAGGTATCTCCCCGTTCCTTGCCATCCCTTTGCCCTTGTCCTCTAAGTAGGCTAGTCAAGCCCATCATATATCGGTTGGGGTTAGAACAAAACCTGTCAACGGTACGTTGAACCGTTTCTGGTAAATTGCCCTGGAGCTGGGGCCGTAAAAGGCAATTTTTCGCAAATGTTTCCCGGTAGAATTTGGTTTGCCGTTGAACAGGGAAGATTACTGCGATTGCACAGCGTGACATTTTTGGGAAAGCGGATGGCACGTGAATGCGTTGCGGAAATATTTATGCGGCATTAGAACACATGTTAGGGTTGCGAACTCGATAAGCTGAGTAAGGTGTTTGACAAGTTTGTGGACTTCTAAAGCGGCTATAGCTTTTTCTTAAACAAAAGATTGATCCGGTTGACTCCTGTATTCAGCGAACGGATAAGTTTCGCAAAAATTTTCCTTGCACGACTGACTGCTTGAAGATGGGAACTTTCCCGAAATTGGCGAATAGAGAATAAGTATTAAAACTGGGTGAGAATACGACAGAACAAATCAAACTGTCAAAAGCAAGGCATATTTTTTCATATCGGCCAGTGAATACTGTCGGAAAATGTTTTGAAAAAGTTAGAAGGCACAGAAATTGGGATGAGTTTGGGCCCTGCAGAAATACCACCCAGTTTTAGATCAAGCTGTGGTTCTGGTGTAAAGAACAAAAGCTCACGAAAGTACAGGCTAAATCAAAACATACACCAAAGAATGTGAAAATGGACTGACTAGGGGCGTGTAAAACTGTCCATTCTGTGGGAAACACCAGAGACTAGCTCCTTTTCCACCCCCCTCCCCGCTAGATTTATGCACCAGTTTACCAGCTCACGCGTGCAATGCGCAGCTACCTACCCCCCCAATCATCGGTGAACGAAACTGTGGCAGCTACAACCAGTGTACAACGAGTACGCGGTTATTACAGCTGACAATGATGATGATGATGATGAAACCCAACTGGCAATGGTACAGTAGCCATGTCATAGTTGAGCATCATGACATGGTATCAAGCAACGGTCACTTGACTAAGTACACATGAGGCCCAATAGTACTTTCTGGTGAGCACCGGAAACCACAGGCAAGTGGTACGTGATGGGCAGAAGAAATGGTCTGCTTTGTCCTAGTTTTTGATCACCTATTAGACGAATCTGACAGGTAAGATTCTTTTTGCAATACGCTTGGAGTTGACCGTCCGCAGTTTCGCTCAGATTGTTCTGAACCCACTAGCTTCTCTCGAATTCAATACAATACTGCGCTGGTAGCCGTCACTTCGAAACATCAGTTTTGCATCGAGCGTGAGCTGATAGTGAATTGGTCACCCACTTACTCCGTGCGCCGGATGCGGAAAGTAAAGCTTCCGGTACAACAGTGTATACGCGCACTGATGAATTATGAAACGGACGAAATCGGAGTCTAACGCCTTTTATTGTCATTGCGGACTTACCGGAATGACTGTGTCAGAGTATCGAGAAAGAAACGGACCTGCTCCGTTCCAAGCTGGACGCAAATGGATGCTGGTATCCAGCGCCAAAAATCGCAGTCTGATCGTGTTTTGCTTATGTCTAATCATCTTTTGCCAAGGAGTGCTGTTTGTCTTGTCCATTTCAGAGTGGCGTGAGTAGAGAAGTGATGAATCTTCCCTGTGAAAGATGGGTAAGAAAGGGGGATTGCGGAAAGTTTGTGCACTGTCTCTGCAACTTTCATTCCAGGATAGGGTCCGAGAGGTGCTAGTTACGCATTGTTGGAGACGCCGCAAAATTGATATCGGTGGCTTTCTTGCTGTCAGTTTCCATCTATATTGCTTGAAAGTGTCTGGGGCTGTAGGCCCCTCGGAATGGTTGTGTTAGGCAAGAGCTAAGCCCCTTTCTCATTAAATTTTACTCTTTACTTCACAGTAAGGCATTCCAATGAATTGCAGTTTTACAGTAGAAAAGTTTCAGTGTTGTTGTAGTTGTTGTTGACGATGATGATGATGATGATATGATGATGATGATGATGATGATGATGATGATGATGATGATGATGATGATGATGATGATGATGATGATGATGATGATGATTGCCCCAGATGAACTTTATACCGTACTTGAAAACTCCAAGTGTGAGTTTGCATTGAATACCCAAGAGTTTCTGTTAAAGCAGTGACACTTTATTCGGGTCCTATTGAAAATACAAAGTCTTCCACAAAATGCACAAACCATCAGTCATAGTTTATGCAGACAATTCAGCTGCCACCGGAGATAATCATTTGTGTTGAGCAGAAAATCATGTTGATCCGCAAAAGCTGCAGAGAATAAAGGAGCAAAAAGAGTTGGGAGCAAGCAAAGTCATTTCATCCACTTCGTTCATCAGATCAGCACACTGCAAGAGAACTGTCGTGGGTAATGAAAGTTTGGCCATTTTCTACAGAACCGGTTAACTTTGCAAAAATATCTGTCGTTGGATTGGGCGATTTGCCTCTGGATTAACAAACAATCTCTGTTGCCTACTCAATCACTGCAAAAGTGAAAAAAATGGCTTTCATCACTGAGTTATCATTGTGTATTTCGACAAGGATGCTCGAATTTGATGTCCACGGTTTGCCAGTTTTTTCACGGTTCAGCGCCTTTCAACGTGAAATTACTGCCGTTGACACCTCCACACAACTACAGAGGTTATCTTAAAAAGACCTGAAGTTGAAAATAGAGAATATGGTCAACAAAACTTCAGCCCACCGTAAGTAAGGTGAGACTTCCTGTAGAGGAAAAGGTAAGTAGATCAGGCAGCCGCAAACATTAACCCACCGCTACGCAACACTATGCTCCCCAATAACGCACTGATGATGTCACCTCGATTGGTGATGAACGTTTGAAATAAATTGCCCAGCTCAGCGAATAAATCAACGACCATACTCTGAGACTTTTACGGTTCCAGACACTCAAGCCGACTAACGATTCTCACCTCTCTAGTCCGTCTTGCAAGCTGGAGTTCCGTTTACCGTTTTTTGAGCGGTTTTCTCGTTCATCAGTTCTGTGACCTATATACTAAGAGAAGGACGGAGAAAGCCAGTGTTTTTCCTCAAAAACGGAAATTTCACTCTCCATGACGTGTTGCAAATTGTTTCACTGCCAAGAGAACACCGCGTGTACCAGTGTTTTCACACGTGTTTTTACACACATGTGTTTGGGTCGCGACTTTTGTCCACTCACCGCTCTTCGCTCGTTAGCCGAACGAAGGACATCAGTAAAAGCAACTGTTCCATCCAAGCAAACATGTCACGAAGTAGAATACAACAAATTACGAAAATCCGTTTAGGCATTCACCCATGAAGCCGTAGTAACAATACTAGTCGCCGTTTAATCTTCTGCGCATCTTTCATAAACGTAGGTGTCTAGTGAGTCCCATCTTCCATGCGACCTGTGGCCGACTTATCAGTGCTGAACGCGGATACTTTTCGCCACAATGTCCATAAGTGTAAATCCACCTTTGTACATCGAATCTTACTTCACAAGTTACTTCAGCTTCAATTTTTTACTGGGGATGTGATCATTTTACGAGGAACAAGACACTGTCTGCACCATGCTGCTTGTTTTTCACTGTGCATTGATTTTTAGCCAAGCAATCAATAATTCAGGAAGGCGCGGCGCTTTTTTGAATAGCCAACCCTCCCAGTGAACGGTGGCTTCATGGACTAGTAATATTAGTTCATTTCCCAGACTGTGAGTAAACACGCCTGATTTTGTTTTTTTTTATACATTTTTACCCCGTTTATTGCTGGTATATGTAGCACATATGATTGGGTAGGTGTACTGTGCGTCATTATGCTACTGGTGAGACAGGGCTCTATTTCGAACACAAAATAACTCGTGACTGAGTGGAAAATAAGGCGCTCCGTTTAGACCTTTGTTCGAGTGAGCAAAACTTTGAATCTTGAAGTTATAACGTTGCCTAATTTGGCGACGAACATGGTTTAATAAACCTCCTTGAGGAATTCCAATAAATTTGATAACAGGAACGTCGCGCAATGTACCGCGTCCTTACCAAGAATTTTGTCTTTATCAGTGAATGATTAACAGAGTTTCAGTGCCATCCTGGAGTGGCTGATAAATACTTATTCGGGTGTAAAAACTGCGATTGTAGAAGACAGATGCAAATTTAAAATCTTTGGGAAGTACCGGAACTCAGGTCATCGGATATCGATGTTTTTCGATGTTAAATATCACTATGATTGCCTGCCTGCCTCTCTGCCACATATTTTTCGGTTTGCTGAGGTCTGAGTCGCAGGCCCAAGTTTCATTGCCGTGAAGTGAAACATTCATGTGGGAGACCTGCTTCTGACTCAACTAGGGTTAGTTTACAACACAAAATTCTAGCTGCTTCGACCCATCTATACTTTGCCTTCCTATGCAATGAAGCGTTGTTTATATGGCGGTCAAGTGAGTGAAATAGAAAGTCAAGCCTACTCCACAACAGTTCGGCTTGATGAGTCTTCAGAGCAGCTTATTCTGGCAAATTTTGCTTTCCTTGTCCGTAAATCCAAGTGAACAGGGGACATAAAGTAATTAATTATGGAAAAATAAAGCGTAAGTAGTAACAGCATTCTTCCAAAAGAAAAACACTCTTCGCTTTGCACTGGTGCTGTCGAAGGACCGTCTCCCGGTATATAGAACCAGTAACAGCGTTCACAAAATCACAGGATCGCACCAATGTCCGCATGGAACAGAGGACTGGATAAGTTCACATCCGAATCTACGATGTGAACGGGCCTTCAAGGAATGCGGATGAATATCAGGCACTAGTGAGCGAGTTAGCAATGTTGTGACACGCGGTCAATACGGATCACAAGATGCATTCAAGGAACGTTCGAGGTGTGATTTTGCAACTGTGATTCTTTTCACAGCTTCTTACTACCTGGACAATGCTAATCGCCGAACAACCCAGCGTAAATAGAGGGAGTAGAGACGCCGAATTTGTGGAGAACATGTGCAGATCAGTGGATCTGATACTTTATGGCAGTCATAAAGAGAAATAACTTATTTTCTTGAAAAGGTTGCCGTGAGATGCGCCGATTTACCTTAGTGAATGCCAATTGACTGTGGCCAAATGCCGAATGCTACTCAAAATAATTTCAGTAGTTAGAATTTATTGCTCGTCAAATTTAGAGGTCGGCGGATGTAACATGGGACGCTTGATGAGATGATGGGCTGAACATCTTCGAGACAATCCAAATGCACTTTACTTTGACTACAGGGCTGGACATCTTCGAGACAATCCAAATGCACTTTGTTGGAAGAATTCTTCAGTAAAAGATGAAAGCTTTTAGCCCCACGTTTCTAGGATTGTTGTTCTGGACGCTTGAATGCACATCCTACCACACGGTCACGGACAGTCCACGGAAAGCCCGACGGTGTTTGTTTGAAAGTCATTGGTTCCACATCTTTGAGTAATTCTGGTAAATCCACTGTGCCGCTAAGGCGCCGCTGAAGTGCTGGTAGTGACCGCTTCCACGACTACGTTTCTTTCTTCCTACAATCATCAGCATGTTCGCCTGCAATGAAGGGACTGTGACAGACACGTTGTTTGACATGCTTTTACAGCTAGGCCACAAAGTTAAACATCAAAATTTCAAGTCTCACCTTTTTGATTGGCTGCAATTTTGATTTTTCACTTCCTCCTCACCGAACACAAACTCGCCACCAGGAGACATGGCCAACTCTCTCTCATCTCTGCACACGAAGATGGGGAATGACACCATTTCGATTGGAATAACGTCAGAAAACTGGGCCAGGCAAGAACAAAGAACGCGAGTTCATGGAGGCGTGGTACTTCACTGGTACTCCACTGATGGAGCAATAAACAGGCGCATTGAGAGTGATCCTGCCTTCCAACCTCTGGGGACAAGGGAAATCCAGAACCACAGAACCCGAGGCCGAACAAGGACTCAAAGAAGAAATCAGTAGAACAGCAAGCTACTAAAAATAGGAGGCACGCCACAAACCAACAGAGAAGTGTCTCCTCGAATGGTGACGAAACGTTTGCAAATCAGTTGCCAAGCTCGGCGAACAGGTCAACAACCACCTGATCAATTACCAACAGGATATAATGCCGCTCATCCTTCAATCACCCGGTCACACATGTTGACTAATTCCTTGAGCAGTGACTCCTTATCCTGTCTAAATATGAGCCAGTCATACTGCTGATCAGCCACTCGCGGCCAAATGGTTAAGTGTTCAAACGACTAGCCAGGAGGTCGCGGGTTCGAGACTCTCCGGGGTCTCGTGAGCTACGTACTGCTGATGATTCCCAGTAGGGATGAAACAGCTGTACAGTGGGTGCTTCTCGACTTTTCAGTATAGATTGGCTTCACTTCTCCACAAAAATCTTTGTAATGTACTACTCATAAGGTTTCTGAAAATCCATCGACGCAATCATCCGGTCACACATATTGACTAATTCCTCGAGCAGTGACTCCTTGTCCTGTCTAAATATGAGCCAAACATACTGCTGATCAGCCACTCGCGGCCAAATGGTTAAGTGTTCGAACTGCTAGCCAGGAGGTGGTGGGTTCGAGACTCTCCGGGGTCATCCCAGTAGGGATGAAACAGCTGTACAGTGAGTGCTTCTCGACTTTTCAGCATAGATTGGCTTCACTTCTCCACAAAAATCTTTGTAATGTACTACTCATAAGGTTGCAGAAAATCCATCGACAGCCCACGACCGGTTTCGCCCTTCTTGGGGCTCATCAGGTAGGCGCCGTCCCCGGGTTTCCGTCAACCTTATGTTCTCCACAAAAATCCCAAATCTCCTCACACCACCAACAATGAGGATGTACTACGTGAACCTTGCCAAAGAAATCATTGCACTTAGACATCCTTCAATCACGGGATCCACATTACGCGGTCACATGTGTTGACTGGCTCCTCGAGCAACGACTTCTTTCGGTATGCAAAGCACATGATCTGATCTGCCAAAAGTAAGCTATGTTTCTGGAAAACCATCTGGCTTACTTCGAAATCATCTGTGCACTCGCAAAAGTAACTCAGTTTGATGCGTTGAGGATGCCAGTGGTCAAACACAGGTAGTTTTTTGAGGCGTTCTGCTGCCACCTCATAGATGCGCAAAGTATGGTAGGCCGTGCCTCAGCAATGTGTACTCCAGCTATGACGTTCAAGAGTGTGTCATCTCCGCTTCAAAGCTATCGGAGTTCCGACAGTCGCCTTGTTAAATAGACAAATTTGTCTACCACCCTCAAGCATGATATTAGGGTTTGATTTAGTCAATTTTTGAGGCAGCATCGAACAATTGTGAAGATCATGTCAAACCATCAAGCCGAACTGTGCCACTCAAATTAGTTTTGTACTTCTAAACGGATAATAAGAACTGCGAGAGTATCGAACAGCACTCACGCAGAAATAAAATCTACCTAAAATATTCTATTACACGCTACACTATATGCCTTCATAGTGAACTGGACGAATGCCTCCTTTTGGGCCTACAGGAGACCATTTCTCGTCAACAGTCTCTGTAGCTTGAATCGTAGTACCCTGCCCGTCATCACTGTCAGTTGTAATAACCGCATACTCGTCGTACAGTGGTTGTAACTGTCGCAGTTTCGTTCACCGATGATCTGGGGTGGGGTAGGTAGGTAGCTCTTGCCTTTAATGCCTAGCTCCCTTGCCAATCCCCCATTTGACAGCTCACTGATAGTGCTGGATTTATGCACCATTTATCGTACCCTTCTCAAAACGTGAACAATTTCTAGATCTGTCTTTTGTCTTGCGCTAAGCTCTTGTCCCACCACTGCTAAGTCCTTCAGTAGCGCCGGATATTCACTTGCATTTTCCGACAGCCTGTTTGTTTTCCTTTTTTGATAACCGATTCTGGTCTAAAGTTCCCTAGCTGCTTATCACGCAGAGATCTGAATGCACTCCTTTGAGTTTGATTTCGTAAACCGGCTTTGTCTACCGGGAGGAACGAGTGCAGACTGTTTTCCTACTTGAATGCTACTCTTAGGTTAGCCGTATTTAGAACCCTCCGAACAACTTCGGATATTTGTTAATTGTGTTGAATAAAAACGGTTCCATGGTGAGCTTCGCCATGGACACCATTGCCTTTTGTAGTTGTCTCTTAATCAATCCACCTGGATATCCACTAGCTCAAAGTCTGTTTTTTACTCCAATTTGGGCCATTCGAGCAAATTCTGTACACAGAATATTTGTTCGGAAGAAAAATTGACAAGAATAGTGCCTTAGGATAGGCCAATGAAGAGATCAAAAGTTGTCTCATTGTTTTTCTTGTGCGCACACCTTGAGGTCAAAAAACGAAGTGTCCATAGGCCATTCTGACCTCATAGTGACCATACTGAGATAGCCATACAGTGCTACCGGTTGAACTTAGAGTGGCCGTATCGAGCGCGTTGTGGAGTCTAGGTATGGTACAAACTGTGTCCTCGCGCCCTGCAACTAAGGGTGTCCCATGAACACGTGTATAATTTAAAGAATAACTCTACAAATTCCACTTGTGACCACTTGCTTTCGTGACGCAAGGGGATGAGATCCACGGTACCCATCAATAGTGGAAATCGATTGAAAAGGAACAAGCTGTCTCTGACATCAAGCACTAGCTTTCCGCAAGTGAAGGTAAGCTAAATAGCTGATAATAAGCAAACTTGTTAGGTGTGAAAAATAAGCTATCATTATGGACGATGAGAATTCAAACAAAAACCATGTATTTCTGAAGCTGCAAAATCGTTTTCTGCCACTTTTAGGAGCATCTCTCATGGTATACTTCCTTGGTGTTTGCTAGTCACGTGGTTGTTTTGACATCCACGAAATAACAGCCGATCATTGGAAATCTACTCAACCGATCATGACTGAGGTGAAACGCGGATTCGCCGACCTTGGTCCTGAGCTGCCTCCACCTGAAGAATTTCTTCGTGGTAAGGCACTGCTTCAAAGCATGCATGGTGGTGGGCCGGGAATGCATGATGAGAACCGAGATAGCGATCCAACCACTGGTAACCTGTACGAGCATTTGGTCTCCTTACTCAAGTTGATACTCGAGCAGCAACCCACTCATGCGCTGGACCAGTTTGAGGAACTGAGTCGACAAGTGAAACGAGAAATTGGCGGTGGTGCTGGCGGTTCTGGAGCAGGAGCTGGCCTAGTTCAAGAAGATATCGAGGCCACCGCTCCCACGGCACGTGAAGACACGCCAGAGTATCTCCATGCAAAGACAGAGCGTACATTGTTGAAGGTGAGTGTATCGGATGAGATTGTTACAGTCGAGATAGTAACTCCTTAATTGCATATAGTTCAGTGGAAAAATGTAAAATTCATTTTCACTCAAATGCTGTACGAATAATCTTGCATCACAAAATCCATTCGTTTGTTGAGTACGTGAGGAGATATGGTGGGGAGCAGAAGGCAACTTCTCGGTGGCTGACAACATGTTGCTCATCAGTATACACCCGCAGCTGAAGATTGTGGTTTGGGTAGGGTCGAATATTCTTGAAGATTAATGCCTAATCAGAACAATCAAGCTGCCTTTCCACATAGGTTGGTGTTGCTTACAGTAAGAGCCACCGGTGGATACATGATTCTGAGTTTAAGGGTCTGGAAATGCTGGCCATTACTTGTCCCATCTACGCTCATCCAGCGGGTTCAACTTAAGCAGAAAAGTTTTCTGTGGATGAGTTGCCCGGGGATGGCCGAAGTCACATCATCAACAGAGCTCCATGTACTTCTGAGCGGCATAAGCAAAGGGACAAATGTGGATAAGTACACACCTAACTGTCAACATGGCGGTTTGGTGGACATCACACGATGCTGCGCTAATGAAACACAAACAGATCTGCTTTAAGTAACAAGTAACTACCTTGGTGTTGCCAAACTTGGTAAACTCAGAGCTGTAACTTTGTTCTTGGCTTTAAGGATGGTGCACGTAAGTGGATTCTAATTAATCACCCTAAAATTCAGTTACCACCGATTGTAATGAAATTATGTATACCCCTTGGTGGGACGCACGGTGATGAGGATAGCCGTTTGGGTAGGACTGTACGTCCTCGAGTGGCGTTAGGGCAGTAGATAGCGTGAACCGATCGCAGCGTTGGAAATTTGGTCTTGTCCAAGAGCCGAATCAGAGTAGCTTATTCATGCACTGATTAAAGTGATACGTTAGCGTCCAGACACTGATTGGGTGAATGGTTCGAGAAAGGCTTGACATTTTCGTGGAAATGTCGTCAGTTACTTTCTGGTGCTACGTTGGTACGGCAGTGATGCATCGGTGTTGAACCCTGATGTCATGCTGTCAATGATGATGATGATGATGATGATGTTGATGATGATGATGATGATGATGATGATGATGATGATGGTGCTAAGCTGTGGTGAAATACCAACAGAGGCATCTCCCAAGGGACGATCTGCGCAGAAGACCAAGGTAATCCGGAACCCGAGTTGTGATAGATCCATTTTTGGATGAAAATGATGTTGGATGTACTCATTCTGAGAAGTACATGTTGCACACAACCTGGCATGTTCTAATTCTAAACACATAGTTGTGTGGACTTAAACCCTTCAGACGGCCTCCGGGAACTTCCTAAACCTATTTTATAGGTCAGCATGCCTTTCGTTCTTCTGCCTGCAAGCAAGGGTCTCCTCTTTATACGGCGTTGCATCAAATAATCAAGGGGGTTCCATAGATTGTCCGCACTTCTGTGTACTTCAAAGTACATACTCTTGCATTTAAGACGGGCATTTTCGCATCGGACACACAACTATGCATCCTCATCACTGACAAAAAAAAGTCAGCTTTCATGATGTCCGATGCGAAACTGCCCGTCTTGAATGCAAGAGTTCTTGTCCGAAAACCTCCCAGGGGTTAGTCATCCACTGACTCGTTCAAAAAACTAATAAGCAACAGATCTTCCTTCAATCTAAATTCGTTGATTTGACATACTTTCCTATCTCTATCTCACCGGGATTATGTGCACGCAACAAGCAATTTCCTACAAATCTAACTATTAGGCAGTGTTTTGAGTTGTTCTGCCATTCACTCATTGAAGTCACATGACAGAATCTTTCCTTTTCTATCACAGCACCCAAAACATAAGTGGGATGACGTGGTCCTTTCAAAAAGTCCACTTCCAGCTCCCTGGGGTGGATACTATGATGATGATGACGAAATACAACGAATGCAAAACCTTGGGCAAGCTTCGTTCTTGGTTGAACAAGCCGGGGCAGGTAGGTTCAAATAATCTATTGGTGGAATTTCACCATTAAGGTGGCAACCCGGTAGGCAACTTTTTACGCACAGGGGTTTTTATTGCGATCACTTTGGAAGGAATGATGCAATGAAACGACAGGCAAAAGAGGAGTTGAGCAAGTTAAGCTCGTGGCCCAAGTGTGAACATGTCCGCCTGTTCAAACGCGAAAATTCAGCCGCGTCCAGTGGTGGACTAGTGGTAAGACCAGTGTCTCGCGTGTCAGACGTCCGGCACGGTCAAGCGTATGCACTGCTGGCGAGCCCTAACAGAAGCGGAATTCCCCTCCTCATTGTGTGGACTCATCGGGATAATCGCGTCAGGAGAGAAGGCGGACTGTTCGATCGAGGGTGAAGTTTTCGCTTGAAGCTTCAGCACTGTATGACGGGTGGAATAAAGCCTCTAAAATAAGCTGTAGGTGTCGAAGCTAATCCGTCTCGTCACCGACAACCGGCTGTATGTGCGTATCATGCTAAGCAAACCAGAGAAACGGTAAAAGTTTACCTGAAAAGTGAGTTTACGGAGCAGTGATCTGCATCACTCCCAAGTGTCTCGAAACTAGGAAGACCGATTTGCAAATGAGTGTATTTCTCGAAAGCAGTCCAATTTGCGTTCAAGCAGAACATAAGGTTGACGGAAACTCGGAGACTGACGAAACCGGTCTTGGGCTGTCGAAGAGTTCTCAGCAACCTAGTGAGTAGCTTCCTTTAGAAAGATGGCTTGTTTAAAAGTCACCAACATGTTCAATTTCATTGCTAGCAGAGCCGATCTCAGGCCATTCGAAACTGGATTACATTCACAGGCAGAAAAACCTCGTTTGGAATTAGCGAAGTGAGATAAATCCCTTGAGAACATCATAAACGAGAGATTCAGCAGCGTTCCAGGTGAGTCTCTCGAAAGAACTAAATTAGTTTGCAAATGAGTATATATTCGCTAATTTCGTGCAATTTGGTTTCAAGTAGAACATAAGGTTGACGGAAACCCGGGGACTGCGCCTACCTGATTAGCCCCAAGAAGGGCGAAACCGCTCGTGGGCTGTCGATGGATTTTCAGCAACCTTATGAGTAGTACATTACAAAGATATACGCTTGTTTATATGTTCTCTAACCAGACGTATAACTCGGGTGCTGCTACACTATTAATTTGACAGGACGCAAACACGGTGGGAATGGCAGTGAGCGCTCAACCAAACTTAATAGTGTGTGTTATCAAGGAAGAAAAAACAGCTTGTTTTGTTACAAAGGTTCGTTATCAGTGGTCCTTGATCTAAATGCTGACTGCCGTCTATAGAAGACACCAAAACTTTTGTTCCCATCTGTCATCTCGTCAATCGTGTCCTCAAAATGTCGCGTGTCTCCAGAAAAATGTGAGACCTCCAGGATAAACCCCAAACTAAAATCAGCTGATTTCACAAAACGAAATTTCGTCTTGCTTAAGATGCAAGAGAGCCTAATGCTTACAAACTCTTGCTAGGCGCCTTCAAGAACGACATCATTTTGTTTACAAGCCTAAAAAGACAATCAAGGACGTTGTTGCTAGATCAAAGCACCAAACTGTGAATGCTATGGATAGCAGAGGCAAACGTGTTCGCATCTTTATCAGAGACTTTATCATATACTTTAGCAATACATTCCACCAACTTGATCGAACTTTGTTCTTCCGCGTTCTCCGTGGGGCTGACATGCCTGATCTACAGTGTCTCTCCGATCATAGGCCTTCTGTATAGACCGGTGATAAAAACGATTGAAACCGAATGCGATAAGCCTCATGGCGTCGTTCTGTCACACAAATTCTCTACAATCCGAAGACTGAAACAATGTAAGAAGGCATGCCAACGATAAACCAAATTAGTTAGCAAATGAGTGTATATTCGTTAATTTCGTGCAATTTGGTTTCAAGTAGAACATAAGGTTGACGGAATACCGGGGACTGCGTCTACCTGATGAGCCATGAAAAGGGCGAAACCGGTCGTGGGCTATCGACAAATTTTCAGCAACCTTATGAGTAGTACATTACAAAGATATACATGTATTGCGATATCTCGAATATCGTAGTGAATGAAACGTGTGGTGGCCTGGTGCACCACATTTAGTTGCCTGAGAACATCACAAACGAGAGATTTGGCTGGGTTCCAGGTGAGTCTCTCGAAAAACCAAATTGGTTTGCAAATGAGTGTATATTCGTTGGTAGAGCCATTTTCATGGCCACAACTTCTGTGCGTTTCGAGATAGATAGTCATGCTATCTTCTCTCGGTTGCAAAGCAATTTCATCAATCTGGATTCAGGCGGCTGAACGAAGATTTCGTTTATACATCGGTGCGGCCAGGTTGACTTAGAACAACCACTCCCCCAAATCACCATTAACGTTTCTCTTAGATCAATTAGATCGAACTAAATACTTCGAGGGCGATTTCTCCTCTGATCTGTCCTGGCATGATAAATTGAAAACCGTATTTCTGACGATCCAGTGACTGCGTTTTTTCATCAAACAGCCGTCTGCTCTGCTCACTTATATTCCTGCAATCATGTATTGCATTCTTACAAACACCCACTCACTTTACTCTGGTGCTCACCCGCAGTTTTTGTAGACTTTTCAATTGAGATTTAGTCCTGTCAGTGAAGCCAATCTATGTTGAGAAGCCGAGAAACGTTGTAGACTTGTTTCATCCTTAATAGGAATCCACTAAAGCCCAAATGCCAAAAAGCTCCAATAAATTTGACCAACAACAGTCAGACAAGTAGTTTGAACACTCAACCGCTCGGCGGTGAAATAAATTTGCATTTAGACAGGGCGTAGTTCCACTCATCCTTCAATCACAGAAACCACATCATGTGGTCAGATGCTGAGGTGGTTGACGGACGGAAGTTTTACTCTTGGTGTGAATTTGTCCTTCTTCTGAGAAACTTCGAGAACATAGAAAGTTCGCTTCGCCGTCATCAGGTGCTGTCTTAAGCTGCTGTCATATCAAAGCCTGCTCAGGCTAGCTCGATCCGAACTTTCCTGATCCCACGTACCCCTTAAGGAGGACCATCTTTCTTTTGTGCACCAGAACATGTGTCTATAAAAGCTCCGTTGAACCGTAATTGGTGCGTGACAAAACTCTACCCTTTTATTCAAGAGGTAAATTTCAAAGATGGAACCTTCATTAAATGGTTTGGCCCACATACCTTGTTCATATAGGTGTGTCCCTGTGCCAATTAAGTGTTTTCCCACCTACATTCGTAAGCGATTGTACAGCCTCTAAAATTTCTTCGACAATCGCAACTGCAAAGTTGCCAACAGTGACGGATGAAGAAACCTCTTCTCCTACCTTGTCACCCTCCTCTGTGCAAGACGCTTGATAATATGGACCTGACTGCTCAAAACGTCATTCAAAGTGGTTTTGGAGCTTTGGCGCTTGATGTTCCTGACCCTAAGAAGGCGTATTAGACACAGGATGTTGTTGCGCTGCGTTACGACTAAATCCTAATGAGCAGACGAGCTGATTTCCAATAAGGAACTCCAGTTTGCGGATTGATGCAGCAGCCCTAGATGTCTACCTCAACGGGAACGCACGATGATGGGGAATTCCAGTGGGAAACGACACACTTCGTATTCATCCCCCGAATTAGGTCGAAATCTTTCATGGAAGAGTGCATCGGTCGAGTAAACATTCCCAAGCCGTTATAAAGTACACCACAGGGTGCTTTAACTTGTATTTAGTTTATCCTTGTAATGAACATGAAAAAGTTCGTGAAATCCATTGTCAGGTTACCTTACTTCGCCAAAACCGTTCGCTGATTGAAGATGCAAACGTGTAGACAGAAGTCAGCTATCAAAGGGTGACCATACTTGAAAACTTTCGCAATTAAGTTCTTCTTGAACAACTGGTCAACATCTTCACATAACTTGCCCTCTGGTGATAGGGTACACATATTTTTGGGAACAAATATCCATGACTTATATTGGAACAGATCCACCAGTGACTTTTCCATTGCGTTGGATTTTGTTACATTCTTCTGTACGTATATCTAACCAGGTTTGGGGCGCTCCGAAATGCTTCGAGTTTGGTTGAGCATACGAAAACTCTCGTTGAAATTGACAACAGTAGTGAAATTGCGATTCTGGGGGAAAATTTTGGGTACTCAAGGATGCTACTACATCGTTGAAGGTGAATTCGAAGCTGGCATGGATCCAGATAGTGGAGTCGAAGGCCCGTTCGATGATTGGCGCCCGTTTACCACGGAGCCCGGTAAGTTCCGTTTTTGTATGAAAATAAAGCCTCTGGACAACTTAACAGTTCTGTTTATCAACTTCGTCTCCCGTAAAAGTATGTTAGCATACTTCTGCTGCCAGTATGTCGCCTTAGGGAGCTTTATGGCCCAAGTGGTTAGAACACGAATTTACTAAATTAACAGTTCTGTTTATCAACTTTGTCTCCCGTAGAAGTATGTTAGTATACTTCTGCTGCCAGTATGTCGCCTTGGGGAGCTTTATGGTCCAAGTGGTAAGAGCACGAATTTACTGACCGCAGGGTCCGTGGTTCAAACCCGACCTCTGCGTCTCGACTTCCCCTGTTTAGGATCGAGCAGCTTGGCATTATCCCAGCACTCGTGCAACCTTCAGGTGGCATGGCAGTTAGGCACCGAAAGGGTGATACAGCTGAATGATTTATTTTTAATGTATCGCCTTAGCAGAGGCGGAGTTCATGAAGCCACAGCTGTTCAACATCCATAAGGATACCCTACTATCGTGGCTTATTTCGAAGAAATTCTGTGTAATGCTGCATTACCGTGAACATTGCTCCGCCCACTTGAATAGAGCAGGCATGTGGTGGACACCACGAGGTTCAAAGGAATCTTTATTTCCAAAGTCCTATGAGTGGTGAATGAAACAAATGGTTATGAATGCTATTAAACCGCTATTGCATCTGGTTCGAAACACGGACCCCTAAGTGGTTGAGTAGACGAATGGACAGGTGACACACCGTATGGCTGAGAATTAGCCAAAAGCCATACGGACAAAAGAGACAGCCATTGGCAACCATGGATTTTTGGTCAACCATTACATCAACCCAATGCTAAGCAGTGGCAAGAAGCACAGTGGTATCAAGGTAATAATGCTAGTGGGTATGGTACATCCAAAGTCGCACGTAATGAAAGCCCTTGCAATGGAATTTGTCAGTCGAAAGGGGATTCTCAGTATCTTGAATTCTATTGTTCCTAAGTTACACTATGACCGAAGGTTCTCTTAGGATGCCGCAAAACTGCTCTACATGAAATATTGCTTGTCGATAGTTTGGTTTGTATGTAAAAAAATTGCAGTCAAGTTTCCCAGTGAGGCTATTCGGTAACGTTCAGTACCACATGCATAGCCTTGGCTACCTTCAGGGAAATTTTGGTACGTAATTTGTTAGGAGAACCTTTTAATGTTGGTACTGACCGGCTGTTCTGTACAGCCGATAATTTGGTTTAACGGGTTTTATTGGTTTTCAGAGTCTTCTGATAAGGTGCTACCCGTTCGGGAGGTGAGTGAGAACAGCGAACCAAAACCGGAAAATGAGGTGAGCCCAGAAGAGGCAAAACTTGCTGAAGCCAGAGTTGTGGCGTTGGAACACCTTCCAAAGAATAAATGGGTCCCACGAGCTCCGATCCCGGTCGAAGCAAGAGGTCGCGGTACGAACAGGTGGGACTACTTCGCATGTACAAAACTGGGGACGGACGAATGGTTCCGTCTACCACCAGCCAGACCTGAACACATTGTTTACGCTCGTCACACTCGGCATTTGTTTGTTGGGCGGCCGGATGCTCCAGTTCCACGTTCTCCTGGTGCACTGGGTGATTTTCCTGGTTTAGAGGTGCATTTTCTTCGTGCACAGATTGCCCGTATCACCTCCGCCACTTGGATCTCTCCGGCCGGATTGTATCAAATAGACGAAGAGGCAGAATTAGAAGAAGGAGTAAGTAGAATTCGATGTGTTTCACATATCAGTCCAGTCGACCGAGATTTGTTTTGGTGATACTCATAGCGTTTTTTACAAAATCGCTCCAGTTCAGATTGTCAGCTATACACGGTCAAACTTCGCTGTTAGCACAGAGAACAACAGAGAGGAAGCCAAACACAAGAGGTGATCTGTTAATCCGTCACCTTCAGTGGAAAAAGGTTGGATCCCAACTATTGCTGATCGAACGAAGATTGGTGTTACCAAGCACTGAGGATGATATTTCTTCTGCGAGTGTATCGTTTTCGCTTAACTGCACCAGTGCATTTGACAAAGAATGTCTATCCTAAAGGTGCCTTTCTATAGAAATGATAGCGTGCAGTGTGACCGCGTTAGCTGATGAGAGATTTTCTACTCCTATGATATATGTCTGGTATGATTCCTAAAGGTGGAACCCTATAAACATCTTCGTCCTCAGTGTAACTCATGGGGCCAACGTGTGAAGAACGAGCGCATGAAACTTTGACTAGCATTTTCAGGCCGTGTCCCTTAAGCACATCGACACATTGACTGGTTTGCACAACTCGTAAATTTTCAAGTAAAAAAACTACCAACCTAAGTAAGATTCAGTCAATTCAATCTATTCAACTTATCAGCGATAAAGTGTGTACCATAGACACATTGGTTCCAGCTGCTACAGTTTCGACTACCGGAAAACGGAAGAGTGTGGGACATATAGCCAAGTCCTGGAGGCGACGGCATGTTCAGTTTGTTCGGAAACTGGGTAGCTACGCATTGAAGGCGATAGCTTTGATGAATGAGCGCCACTGATTGCTCGATCGCACCACCTCTGCAATTGGTGATTTGAGTCCCGGGATCCCCATCCAGGAAGGCGGCAGTTGCCCATCCGACTAAGTTTACTGGTCACTGTTTTCGTGCTTCGTTGCCAGATCATACACTGTCCACCTTGCGGTTGCTTCCACTCAGCACAGGTCGGGGCGAAAAGAACTCTGCGAGGCAGGCAGTCTTCTACTATGCGGAGTACATATCGTAACCAGGGTAACCTATGAAGCGTGAGTAATTCTTCTATCGCGGGAGAGTTGCTTCCTCCTGAGACCATCTAGCGTACCTCAGCATTACTAATCCGATGTTCCCACCAGACCTGATCAATGCTCCGGAGACGCCGATCTTCAGGGCCTGACATCTTTCGTATATCCTCTCTGCGTAGAGGTCACGTTTCTGATCCATAAAGCAGTATGGATCGCGCAACTGCATTGTAGACTCTGTCCTTGTCAGACTAACGGACGTCACGCCATAAGTGTCGGAGGTTGGCAAAAACTGCCCTGGTCCTCCAGATTAGAGGAATAATCTCATCTCCAGACAATTCACCGGAAAGTATACAACTAACCATATCCACACATTTATCTACCATGTTAATTGGCTCGCCTGCAAGCCTGAGTTGTGGGCTAGATCCGATCCAACCCTGTAGCAGCACTTTACACTTCGTTGGGCAGTATCTGAAGTAAACAAGCCAAAAGTATATTCTATGTAGTGCGCTAAACTTGGACCAATTGTCTTTTGAAAAATTATCTGCTATTTCAGTGTTCTTGATTCGACGCTACCATCAAATTCAGGCATTGCTTCGGAGACAGCAGCGGTGGAACACTTACAATCCCACCCGCGCTAGTTGGGATTTTCTTGAGGAAAAGTACCTGTAGTCGGTCTTTCAAGTTTAACCAATTGCGTAGTCAGAAACTACGTGATGCGAGGCAGCCAGGCTTGAGGACAAGGACTAAAGCAAGTGAGTCGTATGGCTGGTACCGACGAGTGCAACAGAGGCCCTTGAAGGCAAACGGAACTGTTACTAGTGGATCATACTGCGCTGACTATAGTGAGCACTGTGGATTTTTCCGGCACCAGCTACCAAATAAGTGGCCGTCTATTGGTTACGCCTGCACTGAGCCTGCCAGACTACGCGACAGGGAGAAGACAGACAACTCGGAACACGGCTGTATTGTCAGGACAAAACATACAGAGCGTCTGCGTAAATAGATAGGATGACTAAATGGTCAAATATGGTCGTTCACTTGTTCGTTCCGTGCGGCCAATGGTGGTGTTCCGGTCGTGAGCAGCCTCAGGCCCACTACGCTGGTCGTATGTTGCCAAGCCGTGTTTGGTGAGCTCCGCCAACGCACCTGCTTCCTGGACGTGTCGTACCGATGGTGAACTTGGGGAGGCGTCACTCTCTGCACATGTACTTTTTCCATGTGTGGGTGCGTCCTGACAATAAGTTATCCATTTAGGCGGTTTTTAAGGCCTACGCCATCTAATTCCCTCCTAGAAAGAGACGGTATCGCTGTCTCTTTAAATATGGACGTGGTCATGACTCGATCGTTTGTCAATTAAGAGCCAACAGATAAGATTTTACGTGACTACAGTTAATGGCTGTAAAAGCGCATTTCCCACGAAGCAATCTCGAGGCTAGATTGTGGGACTGACGCGTACCAAGATATTGCCAGAGAGTTTACAGTGAGCCAGAAGAAGTTCATAAAATTAATTCCGGATGCATTCACTCGTTCTGGACATTCAGATTCTAAAATCGGTTTTGCACAAGAATGACAAAGTCGTTCTCAAATTGTAGGGTCACTGACGGGCAAGGTTCTTTCAATAACTTTAGAAACAGTGGAAACGGTGTGTTAGCACACTGGATACTGTAGCTTGAAGACCGTAGCGTGCAAACTTAAAAGCGCTGAACTTATTTCGTGCCCACCTGTCTTCTTGTAGAGATGCAATTCAGCAATGCGAATTTGATGAAACTCCAGAGTCTCGAACCGGCAACCTCTCGGTTAGTAGTAGCCGCTCGTCAACGACCGGCTGACTAGCATTGTGATTAACTACTTTCTTTTTACTTACGTTTAGGAACAGCCAGAGACGTTGATGGAAGTAGAAGAGTTCGAACCCCCACAGTTTGAAGAACTGTTAGATGCAGCGAACTGGCAACATACGCGTCCATATATCCTACCACAAGGGAGATGTAGCTTTGTTTCACAAAAACGAGCGGCGGCTGCCCTTCGAGAGAACATGGATGATCCTACAGAAAAGGGATGGATTGACCCACAGGTTATGGAACCCTGGAAAGCCAAGTTTCAGGCTCAAGAAGAAGGTGACGAAGCAATGGAAGAGGAAGGAGAGGAGGAGGGTGAAGCAGAACTTCCACAGGAGGGTCCTGGTTTGTTGGGATCAATCGAAGAAGATGCCATTCTGACGGCAGCTGGGGATGTGGGACTTCCAACAGGCAGAGCGACAAAGCCAAAAGGTCGAACAATTAGACTGACATCGCGCCCGTTACCTGCTTGGAGAGTTTATCCGTCAACCGTTTTGCTGCCGAAAAACTGTTCAGTCGCCATTGTGAGCTCCGGTCGTTGGCCTGGAGCCTACACATTGGCCAGAGGAGCGTGAGTATGTTGTATAACAGAAGTTGAATTAGGTTATATTAAGGCAACTAACCCAAGAAATTACAACAGACGAGTGCTGACTGTCCAGGCATGCTCAAACTAACTGGAACAGAACATAGGACAACTTGTGGTTCAGACAAACTGTAGTAAGTCGAGAAATTTAGGCGATTTTCTCCGGAGATATCGATAGATAATGCGGTTATTCTCGTTTGAGCTTTATGCCTGATTGACGGCTATGTGATCGCAATGGAAATGAAGCAATCTTTCTGATGAAAACAGATCAACCGAAAGTTTTTAGAATATCTGTTTTAGGATTCACAAATGGCAGCCACTCATTTTATAATCGACTTCAAGTGCAACAGGTTAGATAAACAGGGATTAAGTGGAGTGAGATTGATTCGAGCGCGCTATATATTGTTGCCGACATTTTTATGACCATCAGCAACACGGCTGCTAATCTACGTCAGTGGCACTTTGGTTTTCAGTTTCCATCCAGTTCGACTGAATGTGTGCGAACATCCAGAAATTATCCTTGTAGGCTAGTAACAATTTTCCGCTTCACAAGAGTTCTATAAGACTGCCTGCCATGTCGTGGTGGCCGAGTGGTTAAGNACTTCAAGTGCAACAGGTTAGATAAACAGGGATTAAGTGGAGTGAGATTGATTCGAGCGCGCTATATATTGTTGCCGACATTTTTATGACCATCAGCAACACGGCTGCTAATCTACGTCAGTGGCACTTTGGTTTTCAGTTTCCATCCAGTTCGACTGAATGTGTGCGAACATCCAGAAATTATCCTTGTAGGCTAGTAACAATTTTCCGCTTCACAAAAGTTCTATAAGACTGCCTGCCATGTCGTGGTGGCCGAGTGGTTAAGGCGTTGGACTCGAAATCCAATGGGGTTTCCCCGCGCAGGTTCGAATCCTGCCCGCGACGGCGATTTTCCCACTGCAGGATTGTGCATCTAGATCAAGCGAGCTGCCGGTTCGCCCCTTTGAGGACATCCTTTGGTCCTTTTGTCCTTCCCAAGAGACAACCTCCAAGAGGCGCCTGTGAACATCGCAGACGATGCGCTGACTGAAGAGTGGGCAGTCAACTGGCATTCCATGTTGTTTACCTGTTTTTATTGATCATCACCATCGACAGCTTGACATCAGTGTTCAGCACCGATGCTTTACTACCGTATGCTTTTCATTCAAAAACTGGAAAGTAGTTCATGGAGGCCCAAGCAGATTAGAAATAGCCAAAAACTGTCGGAACGCCAGTTCCGGCCATCGACGCTAGAATTGCACACTTTTTCAAATGTAGTCTGACTACTGGTGAGTAGTGAGAATCCAGCGGTTTGGATAGTCAGCATGCACGTCGAGGTCACGGAGTGGTTTGTGCGACCGGGTGAACGGATACGCTAAATGTCAGTCTGACAGAAAAACACTACCGTTTACCGCTTAAAAATAATGGTATTCTGACAAGTACAAAACAGAGAAATTCAGATTTATCATGTTAGGTCGACGCTAGGCACTGCAAGCCACGCGAGTCATACATTAAACTGCTCAGTGGCATACGATTGAGATTACTTCTTGAAAACTTCAGCATATCGGATGTGTGTGAGGCGTATCAACGCTTCGATGACTAATAGTACACAGAGCCACTCTCCTGAGAACTGCTAACAAATGAATAACTGATCACCTGGTGGGAGCGTCAGCCGCGATCGGCATTTACAAGTGTCTTAATTTCTAAAAACAACTCATGGAGTGATTACCAGTGCATAGTTAAACGCGGGTCATATCCTTTGTTTGGTTCTTATTACGGAAGCAGTGTCGTTTTACTGAACTGTCTGTGCCTCACAGAAAAGATGAAGATTGTGTGCCTCGGCAAAGCGAAACGGAGTAAGCTTAATACAGTCACCAGGAGAACCGCAGAAGGGCAATGAGCTCGTCCACCATGAGATTTATTGTCGAATTCGAGATTTCGTCGAAAAAACATCGTGGTCACTGAAAAATCGGTCGGCCAGATTTCGAAATTAAGTGTTGACTGAAAAACTTTCGGTTGATGGGAACGATCTGGTGTGAAATTCCGAATAATTTCAAGTGTCAAGCCTTATACCATAGCCAAGTGACATAAGTACATGACGAGCTTTCGTTGAAACTAACGGGGATAAGCGCCTTCAACCTGGATGAGCGATTTTGTGGATTTCGTTTCCCGGTCATCATCGGTGACTTCAAGCGGCTTCTTGATGAAAACACAGTCTCCAGAGAGGGGGACAGTTGCACTCAAATTTCGACATTTCGGTGGTGAAAGAACCACAAGGATAGTTACCGAAAATCGGAATAAACTTCAATCTCACTATTTGGACGCAATTCGCGGAAGCGGACATCCAACTGCTTTTAAAAATGAACTAAGAGTGTTTGATGATGAAGACGAGTTACTGATGATATGCATAAAACAAACGGAATGAAGGTGAATTAAAGTCCAAATCGACCGTTGCAGATATCCCGAACCAGTTGGAGCGTAACCCTGATTTAGCGATGAAGACCAAGCACTCGTATTCGCTAGGGCAATCAAGAACCTTCACTATCATTTAAAGCAGTCACAGAGTGGAAACGAGACTAAAAACTCGTTGCCTTTCATACCTCACGGCGTTCATCGTGTTAAAAAATTTCATATACGTTCCATTCAATTCGCCTCCATCATTCCCAATCCTCGTCAGCGTCCGGACAATTAACTATAGGTTGCGTACTCTCATTTGGAAGTCATTTCGCCCCCATCGATAGCGATCTCACCCAATTCAAGATTTATTCCAGTTGTTCCTTTTTATCTTCAAGGTCACTGGTATGTTTAGCGCCTTAAAGTCTAAAGTACGACTTGATAGTCCCCTCACAGACAATGCCACAGGCTAAAATGAGCCATCTGATTCCGTCTCGGGCCAACGCTTCAAAAAATTATCGATTTTCTATATCCCTTGCATTGTCACAAATAAGACCGTCTGGGTAGCACTGGCGTCCAAAGGTTGATGATGTGCTCGATAGAAAACCAAGTCATTGATATGCTTTAAAAAGAAATACGAGTGATTGATGCGGTCATTCCACAGTACTGTCCAACCTCTCGTTGCAAGCAGCTTATTCTAGTCAGCATTCATCTGTTGCCAGTTCTATAGGTTTCCTCATTTGACTCGAGCTACGACCATGTTCTTTTTCTCTTTTTAAGAAACGCAGCAACACATTACTCTCAGACTGTCCTAATCCCTTTCTGCTGCAAAATACTTTGCCCTGGTAAAAACATGCAAAATCAGTGCTCGCTGATTTGAAATGAAACACTCTTAACAGCATTAGGAACAACTGCCCCGTATTACACCACGTCGGATATTCACAGCTGTTTTGTCCATCTTTTTACATCGAGTTACTCATATCTACCGAAAATTTCACAACCAAGCGACACTAGGAGCAACTTCCGAGCAGCCAACCAAGTGCATGGTGTGTTCTTCCGACAGAATTGACAAACCACTGACAGATGTTGTTCTCCAGTTAGTTGTACACGAGGCATTCCGTTGAACGAACCACCTCCCCTTGAACAGCTGGTTCTGTTCCATTGGCAGGTAAGCAAAAGTACATGCAGTTCGATAGTTTACCGTCCTCTGCCTGATTACGCAAACCCTCTTGTTGGATGCACACTCTTTAAACAGGAAGCGGAGTAACCAAATGGCGAAGAGCCAAAAGTGTTTCCTTCCCATAGTAAACTCTTAAATAGAGGGTATTTATCAAAACAGACCAACTGTGAGTACCCTGCTAATTAGGGGTGACTGCGGTTCTCTGTCTGAACAAGCAACACAGTGCTTAGCAGCCTTTCACAAGACGATGCATAAAAGCACTACACCGCATAGAGCATCAAAGTAAAAGAGCGATGAAAAACCTTAACATCGTAGAAATTTGAGAACTAGATAGTCAACCCAAGATGAGTAACTTTGATGTTTTCCTCTTTCACGACTGCAGAGACTTTGTAAACATTTATGTTGGTTGGGGACAGAAAAGTTTGGCTTCCAGTTTCTCACCTATGTGGCATCCCGATTTGATGAAAGAATTTGCTGAAGATGCAGTGCCGCTGATTGAAACTAATGATCCAACGCCACTGGAAGAAGAGGCCGTCCGGGCGGCAAAAGAAGCAAGACGGTTGGCTCGAGAGGCCAGAGCAGAAGAGGCCGAAGAAGAAGCCGAACCGGAGGAGGAAGATGAGGATTAAAGTTTGGATTCCGTCCGGCATGCTATCTTCCTTTACTGTCTCATTCTTGCTTATAGGGTAAAATCAAAACACCGATACAAAGTCTCCATTGGTTTTCTCTTACGCTACGGGACAGCTATGCTCGAGACAACTCAGTGATTAAGGCGCCAGCTTACGGACCCGAAGGTCCATGGTTCAAACTAAACCTATGCATCTGGACTGCTGTTGTCTAGGTATGCGCAACCTGACGGTATCCCTACCCTCGGCTGGACTGGCAACTAGGTACCGAAAGGGTGTTTGATTTTAACCTGGGAACCAATGAGTGTGTAGACAATCATCGCCAGCGCCTCATCTACCAGCCGGTCCAGATTTCTCATCCTCGACTGTCGAATGATCACCATGTACTAACCAGAGTCGTGAAGAAAATCATGGACTATCACACTAGAATTAGACAATGACGTACAAAAACGAAGTGTTAAGCGGGGAAAAAAAGAGAGGGAAGCTAAATTCACCCTACCGTAAAGTCCTTGGGTTGTCCACATCATTAACGGAAAAGTGATATATTTCGGATAGAACTAATTACATCGCTACTGGTGTCGATCCTCAACCACAACTGGCTGTAAGTGTTTATAATTACGCCACATTCAGTCATAAGGAGGGAAGGGCGTTGAGACACTGGGTGATTTAAGTCTTCTCCTAGAAGTATATTAGATACCGTTAGCAACACTTGCAAACCAAATACAGACACAATTACGGAAGTGTGTAACCATCCACTTTCATGGCACACACACTAAGAACGGAGTTGACGAGAACTGAAAATCTCATGCGTCAACAATTTGGCAATTTTTCTATATAGAAAGCCCGCTCAAGGAAATAACAGGATACCGCATAACGTTTTTTGCGCCGCAGGAAGTAAGGACTCAAGAGGCAATATTCGAGGAATTAGTTTAGATACGTTCCAAGGTAAAACATTATCGAAATATATGATATAAAGTGATAATCGGGTTTCGTTGATATGCACCTCCGTACCATCCGCCTAGGGGCTGTTACCGTCCACCACCCGTCCAGCAACTCGGCTGATCAGGAGAGTCCTCCACCATATTTGAGAACAACTGTTTCTCCTAGTTGAAACAAATCTGGGTGGAGACGGCATCAAGGCAAGTAGAATGAGAGGTCTACCATGCCTTTTCTAATCAAACGGAAAGTAAGTGTAGCAAAGAGGACAAATGACGATGAGAATTTCAGTTTCACTAGACTGATCCATTAAAAACTAATGACATGAATATAAAATGATCAAACCTGTATGGATGGAAGCCCTCTTGAACTGTGGTGGCAGGAATACAATTGCCTACTCATAAGTAGTTGGTAAAGTGACAACCTCAACAGCCATAGTCTGTGTGAGACAGGTGGTGACCCCTCTAGTGACGTTAACATATGACATGGCCATAAACTACACAAGGGTTCGTCTAATTGATAACTCTAGAGTATACAAATTATCTTAGTAGCCCGTGATTGAAGGAAGTGCAGTTAATGGGGAGCCGTAGAACGATAAAGAATTCAGCTGGACAGTCCACCTAAAGAGCGATTACACGTGACAGGTTTCAAACCACGTGCAAGATGGAGAATCAGCGGTTTCTTTGGCGGATAACCGTTGGGCACGCATGGTGGGCGCTCAGCATTCGTACAATGGAATTGAATTTTCGAAGGATACGATGTGTCCCTGATGGACCGAAAGAGACAGGTAATTGAGTTCAGAGTACGAGTCCAAACTTTTGAGCCCCATCTAGGCATCCCGGGGTCTAAACGATGCCAAAAAAAGTATTCCACCAGCCTTTTTACACCAGGGGTATCATTCCTTCAGTGGACAATGAAATTCGGTGAGCTGCTGCACATACGCAACAAAATGCAACACCTAGGCGTAAAAAGTTTTATTTCACTCCGAAAGATTTTGCAACAAAGAGCATTGTGCGGCTAATGGTCCCCCTTATGGTGCACGCCCTTTCTGATTCGTTACTAAGCCCTCAATCAAGTACTTCTCAAGTTCCATACTTTTAATCCTGATGTAATCATGGGCAGATGTAATCCCTCAAATTTTGGCCTGATAATGCGCTTCCCTCGATAGCGTGTTTAAAAACCACAGCACTTATAAGCCCGAAAAAGACGGAGTCAGAAACGTACCAGTTACTGACAACAGGTGAAATACGGTGATCAATAGCAGTAAAAAGCAGTGGTCAAGTTATCTTCACTGATTCCCGATAGAAAGGTAAGAAATCGGTCACACAATGGAAAATTACACACACACAAATCAAAGTGCACCGGCTGCAGCCTTGTCCAAATACCATGCAACGGTTCCATCAAACGGCTGTACCAAGGTGCACGGGAGGTCGGGTGAAGGCAAACTGTTGTTGAGTATTTTCTGCAGAAAAGAAAGTGAGTATGAGATGAGAACTAAGTTGAGAACAGCAAGTAAGTGTGAGTCGTCACATCAACCGTAATGGGTAATGAAAAAGGAGGCCACCACCTTAGTAAATGACGAAGTGTATTGGAGTGGCTCTATCAAAATAACGGAGTAATAGTCCCCTTTCGGGAGAATATTTCCGAAGGATGAAAAAAATGCTTCGTCGGTCAGCTTATCTTATCGTGACACGGGGGTGACGGTACGGTATGCCATCTGTACCAAAATGATAGATGATATCTTTGTTGTACCCAGCTGTTTTCCACACCATTGAATATTTCGCCTCCTCAACGGCACTGTACACATCATCTGAAGCCAAGCGTGGTCGGGGAATTTTTCTTGATACTACGCACATAACACTATTGGTCAACTCAAGGTTGGATGAGACATATTGATTGTTCTTATTGTAAAAAAAAACTGACGGGAAGTCTATCGTATTCACCTATACTAGAGGCTAGTGCATCTTTTAATCAGGAATCTATTTTCACGGCTGATCGAGACTAGCATTTGGCACTACAATTAACCTCTGTTGCTTCTTATGG